TACTATATAAAAGAAGGAAGTGTAAACTTAAGACCTCGTTTTTTTGTTAGACACAGTGATAACGAGAGCTTCTGATACATGACATTCATACGGCTTGAAGGAGATGGTGCGCGATCACTCATCTCATCGATAAGCCGCAGCTAAAGTCAGAAGGCGTCGTTCACGTCGACGTCGATCTTCAAGGACGCCGGCTACCTCCTCGATGCGTTTGCCAGATCCCTCATCAGTACCACCTCCTTTACCTCCCAGACCACATGCTGTGGGAAAGGCTGTAAAGGACAAAGCCAGTGAGCATACCCTAACTGCGACAGAGTGGCCTGCACTTCAAAGGGAAGCAGTATCAAGCGAACCGAAGGAGTTCCATGACGGCCAGCCCACGATCCCGGTTCGCGATCTTTCCAACCAAGACCAGCAAGTGATTGCAATCGTGCAATCATTAATTGCCATGGTTCGCACGCTACTTAGCAGCATACAATCTCCGTCTGTTAAGAGTGCACTGAAAATACTGGATGCTCTGAATCCAGTTCCTGCTAACGTCGTATAAGCACAATGGCTCAACAAAATCTCATCTTCCGCACTGAAGTTAAAAGTGCGCCGATTTTTCAGTGGAATGCCAGAGGCATGAAGTCCCGTATCTCGGACTTTCGCCAATGTGTTCGGGCCAATCAATTCCCTGTACTTGTCATATGTGAACCAAACGTATCAATGCCTTATAGAATGTCCGGTTATGAAGCTTTTTGTTCAGCCGCTTGCGAAGAACGAAGCAAAGTAATTGTTTACATTCGCACGGACTTGACCTATCTTTCGCACCCAATAAGTTCAAATGACGACAATCGGTACGTGTGTCTTCGTGTAAAGAAGAATGCAGTTTCGTTCACGCTTGTTGGTGGATATATATCTCCGTCATCACGATTTGACTGCGACAGATTAAAAGACATCCTAATGAGGACCGATGGGCCTTGGATCATCACCGGTGACTTTAACGCCCATAACATGCTTTGGGGGAGCACTAGGATGAATGCCAGGGGCCGGAACATTGTTACATTTGCTTCCGACTACGACATTTTCATCATGAACGATGGTACCCCAACATATCTGCGGGGTTTCGCGTATGGCAGTTGCCTTGACCTGACATTGGTGTCGCGGTGCTTCTCTCCCAAAGTTAAATGATTTTGCGATATTGAGACTCGTGGGTGTGATCGCATACCCACCTACGTGAAGATCGATGCTATCATAAAAACTTTCTCTTCCGGTGTTGTGACTGGTCGATGTTTACATCGCGTGTTGAGGACGCTTGCCAAGAAGGCCTTGCCTGCAGCCTGGAAAGTACCATCGCGGAAGCTATGCAAGCGTCCAAATGTAAATTGCCATTTTCGTCTAAAATAACACAGTTCGACATCGAACTGGAAAGATTACGAGCTATACGAAGGCGTGCTGAACGACGATACAGACGCACAAGATCAATTTACGACCTGAGGGAAGCAAGACAAGACGGCTCCAGAAAAAGATTCAACGACGCATTTACAAGCTGGAGAGCGAACGCTGGAAAGCATTCTGCGAATCTCTAGACCCTCATAAACCGCTGTCACATATCTGGAGAACAGTTCGTGGTCTTCGCTCCTCTTAGAAACAACGGCACCCTTTTAAAGCTTTGGCACTCCATCATGGAAAAACAGAACTCGAGGTGGCTGAAGAATTTTGCACGAGAGCTGCCGGGAATATTATGCAGAAGAGCATCGACGCCGTGATTGTTCCTGAAACGCGATTACCAGAAATGGACATTCCATTCACCATAGAAGAACTGGAAGGTGCATTAGTCGCTTCTAAGCGCACGTCATCACCAGGTCCTGATGGTATTACTTATGGTGCGTTGGGACACCTTGGACAAAAAGCCAGGAGAGAACATTTAGCATGCTTCAACAACTCCTGGCTCAGCGGCAGTGTTCCCCGAGAATGGAAAATAAGTCGATTAATACCACTTCTGAAATAGGGAAAATCACCATTGGACTTGACAGCGTATTGCCCTATTGCCCTCGCAAGCTGCCTCGGCAAAGTGATGGAAAGGATGGTTCTATGTCGTCTCGAGTGGTACTTGGAACGATACACCAAATACCCTTCCTGCATGGCAGGCTTTCGTCGGGGCCGCTGCTCCATCGACTGTGTCCTTGACTTATCGACATTTGTTCAGCAAGAAAAAGTCGCAAGCGTATATCAGTGGCACTCTTTCTTGACGTGAAGGGTGCATATGATAATGTAGCTCACGATGCCATCCTCAATTCTCTCGCAGCAATGTGCATTGGTGGACGAATGTTTCTATGGATAAAAGATTATATAACTGGCAGGGGTTTCTTTGTGCAAACAGATGAGGGTAAAACTGCTGAACATTACACCTACTGCGGAGTACCTCAGGGAGGTGTTTTAAGCACCACATTGTTCAATGTTGCCCTCATTGGTCTGGTAAAGGTTCTGCCAAAGTCGGTGTGCCTATCCATAGACGCCGATGATATTTGCCTCTGGAGGGCTACAGTTACTCGCCCTCAGGTGCGTGCACGAATACAGCAGGCAGCAACCCTCACAACAGCCTACCTTCAGAAACAAGGCCTAACTATATCAACTGTGAAGTGCGCGTTGATGGCGTTTGCACGCAAACCAATGACGCCATACCCTGTTTACATCAATGGGCAGAGTGTCAAATGTGCACGGACGCATCGTTTCCTGGACATAATAATCGATAGAAGTCTTTCGTGGAGCCCGCATTGTGCGTACTTGAAGAAAAGACTTATCTATTATGCATATAATGAAATTCATGTGCGGGAAAGCATGGGAAACTTTTGTGGCCTCCATGCTACAGCTGTACAGGGCCCTATTTCTGGGTCTATTGCACTACAGCTTGCCGGTACTGACTAACACTTGCAAATCCAATACTCATTCATTGGAGAGTTTGCAGGGTCAGGGTCTGCTTATCTGCCTAGGACTGCCCCGATGCGCTTCTACTTATGCCACAATCGTGCTTGCGAAAGACCATCCGGTCAGTACATATAGAGTTGTGGATTGCCTCAGAGCGCACATTCGACATGCTAGCCGTGTCCCCGACCACCACTTGGCCCTTCTACCTTCCGGAAGATCACGTGCTACGTTTTCAGACGTCATAGCCAAGCACCCAAACAGCATTCCATCAGGATATACGCCAGCTACGAGAATGGCATATCCTTTATGGTGCCTCAACCAACCGCAAGTATGTCTAGAAATTGTGGGTATCAAAAAGAAAAGCAATCACTCCAGAGTAGCATTGAAGCAAGCAACACTGCTATTATTACATGAGCTGTACTGGGACCGAACGCAGATATACACTGATGGGTCCGTCTCGTCCAGCAGCTCATCAGGTGCCGTTGTAATTCCGGCTACAGCAATGACAATCAAAATTAATTTATCGCATATCACTACATCTACGGCATCAGAGCTTGCTGCTATACGGGCTGCTTTACAATATCTCGTTCAAGAGCGTCCAGGAAAATGGGCCATATTCTGTAATTCAAAGGCAGCGCTTCAGAGTTTGCAATCTGCCATGCGCAGGAGGAGTCATGACCAATTGGTGCAAGAAATAAGACATTGCCATCATGAAGCTCTAGCACGAGGGCATGATATTATATATCAATGGCTGCCTGGACATATCGGTATTACCGGAAATCAATTAGCCGATGATGCAGCCCGCTCAGCCCATGAAGGAACCCGTGTAGTCCCGATTCCTCTATCAAGGAATGATGCAGCAAGACAACTTTACCTGCTGGCTCGAGATCTTACACGCACGTTCTGGTCGTCTACCAGCTTCCAAAGGTGTCAATTTTATGAACTGGATCCTTCGCTCAAGATAAAGCTACCATCACAACTTACCCACTCCGATGCGACACTGTTATGCCGCCTTTGGTTGGGTGTTGCATTCACAAAGGTGTACTTCTTTCGCATTGCTCTGCTGCGGTGGTCTAGTGGCTAAGGTACTCGGCTGCTGACCCGCAGGTCGCGGGTTCAAATCCCGGCTGCGGCGGCTGCATTTCCGATAGAGGCGGAAATGTCGTAGGCCCGTGTACTCAGATTTGGGTGCACCTTAAAGAACCCCAGGTGGTCAAAATTTCCGGAGCCCTCCACTACGGTGTCTCTCATAATCATATGGTGGTTTTGGGGCGTTAAAACCCCACAAATCATCAAAAAAAATTTTCGCATTGGTATGGAAGACACCTCTACATGCGACTACTGTAGAGCTGAAGAGACCATTGAACACGTCCTGTGCAGCTGCGCTTGCTACGACACACAGCAATGCCAGCTACGGATGGTTTTGAATCAACTTGACTCGAGACCATTTTGTGTGCAGAAGATTCTAGGACCTTGGGCATCTGCCTCAGTTGCGCAGAAAGCGACTAAAGCACTCCTACTTTACTTAAAGTCAACAAACCTGAGCGACCGCCTGTAGACTGTGTGTGCTCCCCCGAGTGTGCTTGTAATTGTGTGTACCTTCTTATCTCTCTACAACCTCTTTTCTTTCTTCATCTCTTCCCCAGTGCAGGGTAGCAAACCGGATGTGCGTCTGGTTAACCTCCCTGCCTTTCCTTGCATCTTTATCTCCCTCTCTCTCTCTCTTAGTTCTTTTGTGTGTGTGTCAGTTCTCGTACATTTTAATATTATATTTAAAAAAAATATGAACCTATATGTGCGAAATTTTGTCATGCCACAATCGTTTGTAAGAAAATAATTAAGCTACTCCTCTTGAATAGAAGTTCCTTTGAAAGCGAGCTGGACATGGAAGAAAGGGGCTACGTCTCAAGCCGTTTCTGAATTTCCGCCTTGTTGCTCTCACAAATGTTAATGCGTTTACTGCATCCAAATGTAAGCATTTTCTGTTTGATCGTAAAATGTCTTCAGAAAGTTATCACTTTATTCTTTCATGCAAGTACCTTTCATTTATAGGAAGACAAGTGCGTGATGTCAATATTGTAACAACATTTCAGGCTTCTTTTGCAAGTTCCCTGCGGCAACAGAAAGAAGCGAGAATCCGGATTCAGTGCCACTTGGAACATGTGAGGCTGTGCAAACATTGGAAGGTAATGACATATAGAGACGGGGTAATCGACTCTCTATGAAGACCCTTGAACCCGTATCGTAGTTAAGCATATTGCAAGGCACCCTCACAATAAACACATAATAAATCATTGCCAAGTATTTTTTGGTAGTCAAATGTCATCGTGTCACATTCAGAAAAAAAGATATTGAAAAACTATGGCAGTGTCGCACTAGTAGTTGCAAAATAAGGAAAAGCATAGTGGGGTGATCTTTTTTTGTCACTCTACATGTTTCGTCTCTTTTCGTACACGGAACGAAGAATTTGCCGGTTCGTCCGTCTCAATGAATTTAAGACGAACGACCTGCGAAATTCCTCGAAATCATCTTTGAAGATCACCTGCTTCACGTTTTCGACAAGCAGCCTAAAGTACCCCCTATGAAATAACAGTTCGCAAGATTTCAACTAGCGACGCCAGTCAGCATTTCCAGCATAGCTTGAACTTCAACCGGGCACGCATGAAAAGGTGGACAATTGTTGGAGTGACATTTTGCCGCCGTTATGGATGCCTGATGATATTTAATATTGGAAATGCTTTCAGCCTTCACTTATGATGTGAGTAGTATATACAACCGATACGCCAAATGAACACATGTTGACTTCGGCTTCGAAATAATGGCAGCCTGTATTGCTATTCGACCTTGTGTTGGAGAGATTCGCTGCAGGCTTCCATGTTTCCTTCTTGTAGTAGTAAATAACGAATATAAAAACGCCCACACATTCGAAACAAATCGCGTAGAACATAGTTTATTGTTCAGACGTGACCCTCGTATAGCCAGCCAGTTTACTTAAGCGACAAAACAAAACAAATAACGTCCCATCAATCTACGTTGCTGCTCTTTTTTTTTTTTGAACATTTTATCTCATATCGGCCTCGCAGTGGTGCTCTATATATTGGTAATGGCGCTCTACTGGTAAAACGAAGGTCGCAGGATGGAATCCTATAGCCTCGGCGGTCGCATTTCCATAGAGCCGAAGAAGCTTTTTTCCATTCAATGAGTTGTTCTGACAAGATACAAAATAATGTTCAATAGTCTATGTTTCTTCGCAGAATTGATGCAGGGGAGATATCACTAGACCAGCTCTGTGTACATACGACTTTATGGGGTGGGGGGGGGGGGGAAGACACACTAAATGATCTTCTTCCTTTACTCTCCTCGCTTCTTCCACCTCAGTGTCCGGCACATATGTCGCGACAATACCATAATCAAGGCGCTCTAAGAACAAGAGGAAGAAGACTTCTCCTTGAGGCGAGCAAACGCTTAATATGGTATACGGCTGGCTGTGCTATATGTGTGGTTTTGCCTGCGCTACGCAATGCGTTGACGAAATCATACGACCGCCTGGTTCCCGAAAGCGTTTCTCGCTAAGAACCCTAGTTGAGTATTGCCTGTACATGGAAACCACTGATCCAATATTGGCGGGTAAAACCAAATATTGGCTGTAGTGCGTAAACAGTGGCCCAGTATTCCCGGCCAAAGCCGACTGCTCAGCCAATATGCGCTCTTAGCAGTCAGCATGCAGCCGTAGTATATATAGGGCCCCAGTCACCCGCCGCGGAGGCACTATTTCGGCATCGGGCGCTGCCCATGGTCGCGCTACCTGCACTCCCAAAGAATGTATATGCTAGCGTAGTGGTAACGAGGGGCATAACGATATTCCAATCACTCAAGGAGATTATCGAGCATCCCGGCTGTGGCGGCTGCATTTCCGATGGAGGCGGAAATGTTGTAGGCCCGTGTGCTCAGATTTGGGTGCACGTTAAAGAACCCCAGGTGGTCGAAATTTCCGGAGCCCTCCACTACGGCGTCTTTCAGAATCGAATGGTGGTTTTCGGACGTTAAACCCCACATATCAATCAATCAATCTCACATAGTGGGCACGAAACTATTTCACTCTTCAATACGTGTGTGTCCACTTACCATCTTATGCCGTATTGCTATCTGCGTAGAGCAACACTCGAAACTAAAACACTTTCTGATCGTGGAACACATAAGTGAAATGGCGATACCGTAGCGTAGATGGCGCTGCATGCAGACGATTCTTTTTTACCAAAGCTGTGGTACGCTAATATGCTAAACTGTATGGTATTACTGGCACTGCTAAGACACTCTCACGAACGACTTGAGGGTGTGTACTCTGCCGTTCGGCGCACAGTGACGTGGAAAAGCATCGGGGCGAGTGTGACTTGAGAGAGAGAGAGAGAGTAGGCGGAGAATTCATTGATTGATTTGTGGGGTTTAACGTCCCAAAACCACCATATGATTATGAGAGACGCCGTAGTGGAGGGCTCCGGAAATTTCGACCACCTGGGGTTCTTTAACGTGCACCCAAATCTGAATACACGGGCCTACAACATTTCCACCTCCATCGAAAATGCAGCCGCCACAGCCGGAATTTGATCCCGCGACCTGCGGATCAGCAGCCCAGTACCTTAGCCACTACACCACTACGGCGGGGCCGGAGAAAAGCAGGATGAAGGCGCAACTGATCGGAGAAAGCAATCATAATCAGCGAACTGTAGCCCATTTATTCTCCCTTGCAGTGGCTGTCAAAGATGCACTGTTGAGGTCAAGATAAAGAAAAAAAAACGAATGAGAAAAAATGTATTTGTAAGTCAACAGTTTCTAAGTAAAGGCTGAGTCCGAATGTTTCTTTATTAGGTTAGACAGTTTTGTGCAGTATATCGCTGAGTCTTCTCTCGTTCCCATGGAGGTGGTTGGCAGTGTAGTGGTGCGCTCTCCTTAACTTAATTTTTTGTTTCTTTCTCTCTCTTTTCTTCTTCAAAATTTACATTTGAGACTTATCCTATTCAGTTTTTTTTATTCGGTAGCCTGCAATACTTCGGTGCAGCAGGCAGGGCATTGTTTGTTGCTTTATTTTCATTATTTTAATATTAAATATTGTTCACACAAAGCTGTCTGTCTGTCTGTCTCTAAAAGCTGCGCGCAAGTTTTGCTTGGGTGACGAGACAACTGGAAGACTCTCCGTACCCCCTTGCGTCCTCTGGCGCCCTGCGATGCCCTACGCGGGCTCGTCCATGGCCTCCGAGATGGTGTCGCGCGCCCGCAATCTCGGAGGCCGTGGCTCGTCTCAACAATTTGGACGAGAAAACGCGACTTTCGGAACGATAGCCTCCACGATTAGCTCCGCCAGCACAAGGCAGGAGATAATCGCGGAAGCCACATTAAAAACATTTATGTGCACACCTGTGCCCGAACTCTAGCACTAATCTACGCCAGTACTGTACCAACACATCCACTCTGGACCATATCCTACGGGCATATCCAGCATTAATCTGCAATATTGGGGTTTCAACTTTTTAATAAAGACCTCCGGTCGCGTTGGCGGACAGCACTGCTCAGTTAGGGCGTAGACAAGAAACTCTGGGCGATCCAGCAGACCGAGGAAGCTGCTGGGAGACAGGGTCGTTTTTTTTTTAGCTTCTACACGGCGGCCCAGTCCTAACAATCTGCCGGAAATTCGCAAAAAGTTTCTCTCTCCTTGGCGTCACTGACGGCGCAACCAATAGCGTGCCCTTCTTAATCTACATTTACTTTTTTTTTCTCTCGTTCTATATTTGCACCTGCTATTCTTCATTGTTAGTGCACCAGTGGTGAGCAGGGCGTGCCCTATTTTTGCGACACATGCGTGCTAGCAATGTTTTCTGCAGATGGAACTGCAGCAAGGAGATTTCGCTGATTCATATAAAGGATCAGGAAAAACATCAAAAGTCTCGCGCGTGTTTTCTTAAGCTTTCGTCTAAAATGACTTGACAGCAGAAATCTGCCGGTGCGGAAAGGAAGGGAAGGCACTGTTCGTGTCGTCACGTCAGTGATCGAATACGACTTTATTATAGTCCAGTGCATAACCTACACTGAGGTTGCCCCGCGCCACACGGCTACTCCCACTAGGGGACGAGAACGTCTAGCCTAACGGCTATGTAGTGGGCGCACTGGACGGCCAAGATTCGTGCTCAAAGGTTCGGACTACAAAAAAGCGCATCCCGCGCGGCCTTCCTGCAAATCGGGCCGATGCCCCGCCGTGGTAGTTTAGTGGCAAAGGTACTCGGCTGCTGACCCGCAGGTCACGGGATCGAATCCCGGCTGCGGAGGCTGCATTTTGGATGGAGGCGGAAATGATGTAAGCTGGTGTTTAGATTTGGGTGCATGTTAAAAAAAAAACAGGTGGTCGGAATTTCTGGATCCCCTTACTATGGCGTCTTCCATAATCAAATGGTGGTTTTGGGACGTTAAACTTCACAAATCAATCAATCAGCAAATCAGGCCACGCTACCCGCACTCCCAAAGCATGCACATGCGAACGTAGTGGTGACGCGGAACATAAGGATACTCCAATCACTCAAGGAGATTATCAAGTATTAATTACTACGGGGCAAGCCAGGGTGTTCTCGATCCCGCATTGAAAACTCAGTAGAGAACAGCCTGTCTCGTTGAGCTTACTTCTAACCAATTCGACTCCACCCTTAGCGTACCTAAATAAAATCTATCATCCAATTATCTCCGACACCACCTGCAGCACCTATGGGTCAAGTCGGCGGACAGTAGGCGACGGCTACGCTGAAACAATCAGGAAAGGGGCCTTCATGTGCAAGTTTCTTCGACGCTGCGGCATATCGAGACGACGCAATGTTCGCAGCGGCAGTCGTCGATCGGACCGGATCGAATACGAATAGCGCCGCGGTGCGCACAACGAATCCCCAGGTGTACGAACAAGTGGACTCGCTCTGCTGAATGGTCGATGTGAAGAAGTGTACATAGTCCCAAAGGCGGCAGTAAGAGCTTTCCAAAGGGGCCGCATATCAACGCAGGCTCCCGGGATTATAAACAGTTCCACCAGCCATGGGATCGTCCCTCACACCATGTTCCCCGTGCTCAGTAAAGGGCGTTCACTCTAGGGCAAAAGGGTGTTAAAAAGGTGTGTGGTTCGTCCTTTTGGGGACTAATGGGGCTGCCACAACCATTAATTCCTTTAAGGAATAACTGCACCGGGTCTAACAGTTAGTCCCCACAGACAAGCTTAGGGAACTAACATTTAGACCTCACATTTACACCTTAGTGATTAACCGTTAGTACCACAATT